GATCAAGAGTACCGTGCTCCACTGACTGACCCAGCCAGGCATCCCCCCAGCTAGGCATCCTTCCTCTTCCTGCAGAGATGCCCCCACCACCTTCCTACCCCCTTTTCTCCCAACTCAAAGAGAAAGGCAACAGAATCATTCAGGCACTGATGAGGCAGAGGCTCTTGCCACAGTGTCCTGTGAGGCCCTGAGCTGACCTACCTTCCCCTTCCTTTCTCCCCACACTGCTTCTCACCAGCATCATGAGAGGCCAGGGCTTGTATCATCCGGCCCGCGCTCCAGCGAATCTGGTAATCAGGACTACTCAACATGTGCATGAGCAAGTCCAGGACCCTTGGGTCTTTGAATACACCAGTGAGGGGCTCGATGCTGGCGTAGGCGCTGAGTACGTGGACAGTGTGAAGCAAAGGAGCAGGAGGGATGGTGCCCACACACTCCTCCAGCTGCCGGAGGGCCCTCTGAATCAAAGACTTCACATCGGTTTCCATTTCCCCCAGCACAGATTTGTCCAGGGCCCCAGCTTCCCCTGCAATCTCCTGAGAAGGTCCGATGACCTGGCCGTCCTCGCCCAGCATCTTGTGGCAGTTGGCATAGATCTCGTCGTTGGACATCCACAGCAGGATGTGTTCGGCCTTGCAGTCCACTTGGCTAGAGCCCCCTTCCCCATCATCCCCACGCCTGAGGATGAGCCAGCGGATCTGGTACTCAGGATGCCCATCATGGCCCACCCGCTGGCGGATCAGCTCATCTGGATAGGCATGCAAGCCCGGCCCCAGGGGCACTCTGAATTCCCTGTAGCGGAGTTCCCCCACCATCCTGGCACCTGAGACACAGAAGGAAAAGAGAACAGTCATGCTAAAATGAGAGGGGGAGTTCCAAAAATCAAGGACATCCAGGAGTTGGGGAAGCAAGTGTGGCAACAGCTGTCAGGTTGGCTGGGGTAAAGAAGGGCCCAGGAGTTGCCTGCTGCAGGCTGGGTGGGGCCAGGCCTAAGCAGGGGAACACTAGGGTGTTTGTTCTAAGAACACAAAATTTGGTTGAAAGGAGGGTCGAAGGCCCTGCAGCCTGGAGTGGGTTGGTTTGGAGCAGTGGGAAGGGGACAGTGGGGGCAGGGGAGCCTTGCCATAATTAATCCCAAAGCACTGCCATAGGCAGCAGCCCTGAGAAGGGGATCCATGAAGCCCCGAGGGGTGTGTGTTGGGGAGTGGGGGTGGGGAGTGAGATCCCGAGTGTGTCTGGGAAGGGATGCTAGCTCCAATGGTTGAAGCGCAGGAGTGTGTCACAGAGGCAAGAGATTTGGTGGGGGAGAATTGGTGGGATGGGGGGGGCAAGGCGCGAGGGGCTGGGAGGAAAGCCTGGTGGGCTGCAGGCGCGCAGGACTGGAGACACTGGAGCAGCAAGGACGGTGGGGGCGACAGGAGATCCGGTGGGTTGAACGGCGGGAGGCTAGGTGGACCCTAGAAGCCGGGGGCCCGCGGCAAGGTGCGGGGGAGGGGGCTAGGCCAGATAAACGAGAATCCCACGGCACTGTGGAACTGGGGTGGGGGACGCGAAATCGGGTGCGCGCGCGGCTCGGTGGGCGAGAGTGCGGGGGAAAATCCAGGGTAGGGGCGGGGGGGCTCTGGCCACCTCAGAAGGCGATGGGGGTCCGGCGCGAGGCCTCTCCTTCGCTGAGCTAGGGACGCGGCGCAGACGATGGCGGCGATGCTGGCGGAGATTTGGGCCCCGCCTGGGCCCCCGAGGGGGGTCGAGGCGGAGAGGCGGGAGGGGGCGTGCCTCCGAAGGACAAGCGGGCAGGCAGGGGGCGTGGCGTGCAGGCACAGAGCACCTCGGGCGGCCACTGTCACCGCCCAGCGTGCAGGTCAGCGGCAGTCTGGGTAGGGCGGGGCAGGGCGGAGACGGGGCCCAGCCTGCGGCGCCGCCCGCCCAGTTCTGGGGGCTCCGCCGCCTGCCCGCCTGACCGGAGTCGTGGCTCATTTCCGCCAGACCCAGCGGAAAGCTAGGGGCCTTAGGAGAGCTCCGGGGCGGAGTCGTCAGTGCCACCTCGGCGACGCGCGGCACCTCCTCCTCCTCCGTGCCGCCCTTTCCTCTTCCTTTTCATTCCCCTTCCTTCCACCGGAAGTGCTCTCCCCGACTCCCGAAGTCAGAACAGGAGACCTTGGAGGTCATTTATTCTCCCCTCTACCATTACATAGAAAAAAACTGGCACAGGGTGGGGGTTGGGGGGGGGCGCGGCTGGAAATGAGCAGCTCCAGTCTTTGCCCCATATCGTCCTTTCTCCTCTCCCGTCCTTGTTTGCTCTGGTGTTTTTTTCCGGGTCTAGTATGTGCAATCCTCCCTCCCCCAAAAAACAGTAACTGCTAAAAATGAGGGGTGATTTTATTAGAATCCAGGGATCTCAGCTTTGGGCAGCAGCCGAGGGCAGCTTCACGTAACTCTTCATAGGGGGCAGTGGCCGAATCTTGCGGCCAGCCCAGCCCCCCTTGCGGTGCCACAGCCCGCTGGAAGGCCTCTTGCCTAGCCAGCGGTTCCGCCCAGCCTTGCCGATGACCCTTTTGTTATGATCAACGTTGGATACCCGGCCTACTGTTGCCATGCACGTTTCCAGAACCTGACAGAGAAAACAGATGGAGGAGAATGCATCATGGGGAAAGAGCCTGACATTGTCGACTGCATGACTCTGAGGCTTCTTACACTCACTGAGAGAAGGGAGAGGACAGGAGAAAACCACAGCATAATTGAACCTGACGGCAGGTCCTATGGTAGTTGAAAACAAGAGGCATTGTTCCCTGTCTATTACAGTGTCAAACTGACAGGACATGCCTAGTCACATGGCAGAAAAGGACACACCTAGCTCATGGTAGTTCCCAACATAAAACACCTGGGAACTATCCTGGACAAGAAGGGTACATTCCAAAACTTCCTCCTTTGCTGGTCCTCCCACCTGTACCCACACACACACACCTGCATCTGTCTCTTGGAAGGCAGCTGGATGATGGCCGTCCCATTCACCTTCCGTAGCAGCACACCACATGTCCCTGGGTAAGGGAGAAGGAGCTTTGCCACCCTCCAAAAAGGAAAAGGTAGGAGCAGATTTACAGGGGGACATACCCCATACCCTGCCCTTGCTTTGCCCTTTAGGAGCAGATACAATGAAGCAGGATGCATGCAATGTTTTAAGTCAAGACACATGCACCTCTCCATTCTCATTTTCCTTGTTTTTCCTTCTTTTTCTCTGCCAGTGGACCACATAAGAGTCCAAGGGTTCAGAGAATTGTGACCTCAGGTACTCTTTGGCCTTCCAAATTGTAAGACCCCCAAGCAGCTCATTTCCTCATACCTGCAGCTCGGATATACTGGGCCCCCCGGCCTGGCTCACTCTCCACGTTGTTGATGAGAGTCCCCACAGGCAAGGCCCCAAGAGGATGTGCATCCCCTTCCCGAGCAGCAACTAAAAGACATAATTTCATCAGCACCAGACCCCTTGCATCCTTTGAGCCCATACACGTCTGGTGGCCGTCTCTTACCTGCCATTCGGCCTATGTGATCAGAGTTCAGGATTATATCTCCAGCCTGCATGTTTTCTGTGGCAATGATCCAGCGTTTCCGGCTGCCCCCAGCAACCAGAGCTATGTCTGCTGATCTGTTCAGGGTGAGGGACATATGAGCAGATCATCTAGGCAGCCCTATATCTTCTGAAAAGCCACAGAACAGTCATTCAGCTACACTATCATCATCTCACATCCCAAACTTGCCTACAGGGATCATAGCGGACCACGATGACCTTCTCCTCAAAGGGTCCTGGCTTTGCTTCCAGCTCAGGCCGGAACCGCAGAAAATCAATCATGCGATAACGTTGCTTGTGGCCCCCGCCAATACCATGCACTTGGATTCGGCCTGTGGTCAGGAAAGTGCAGAGACATGAGCCAGGTCAGATGATCAGTTCCTAGCAGTGGGAACAGGCCCATTCTGGGCAGAGAGCAATGCTTCCCAACATTATGAGATGAGCAGAAAATGACAAAAAATTTGCATAGCAAATGGTAAACGGGGGTGGGGAAACACCTACATGGAACTTGATAAGAACATAATTATAAGATATTGAAATTACATAAAACTTCCAGACAAAATCTCTACAAATTATTGAATGCTAAAAGTTTATTGAGTGGTGTAAATAGTGCTCAGCTATTGTAAATTTTTTTCATTTTTTTTAATTTTTAAAAATAAAATATTTATTTATTTTTGAGGTGGGGGGGGCGATATGAGTGGGGGAGGGGCAGAGAGAGCCGGAGACACAGAATCCGAAGCAGGCTCCAGGCTCTGTGCTGTCAGCACAGGGCCCAATGCAGGGCTCGAACTCACAAGCCATGAGATCATGACCTGAGCCAAAGTTGGACACTTAACTGACTGAACCACCCAGGCACCCCATAAATTTTTGAAAGGCATGAAGAAAAATATAATTAACTTCATGTATATGTCTGGTTTTCTTTAATTACCTAGATAGTCTTTAGGAGCACAGACTACCTTCATGTTGCTTTGTGTTATACTCTTTGTTTCTTACACACCTACTACATGCAAAAGGAGTCCAATAAATTTTTGAATAAATAGGCCTAGGATCCTAACATGTTTTTCAATAAATTCCTCTGCTTTTCAATAAATAGACCTGGGATCCTAACATGTTTTTCCCCTTTAATGCTTAAATCCTTTTTCCCTTGGTCTCACCTGTGTGGTTTCGGCCCCCAGACTTCCTCATCTTCACTGGTGTGATGGTATACTTGGTACGACTCTTCCAGGACACAAAATTGGCACTAAGGGCCACAGATGTAAGCACTGGGCGGCAGAGGAGCAACAATGAGGAAGAGGGCAGCTGGAGGAGGGTACTGCTTGTCACCTAGAGATAAACAAATCTCTTTACCTTAAAAGGTAACTGAAGAAGCATCGGAGAACCAAGGGTAAAGGAATAGACCAAGTAGCCTACTTCCTTCTAAGAATGTCCCAGACCAGCTGTCCAAAAGCTCCACCCTTTACCCTTGTACAAATACCAGGGTGGAATGTTTATACAGGTGTATGTGTATTGATTATCTCTCCTCATTTGAGGTACTTCTTCAATGGAATATTCTCCCCCTTGGTGCATCTCCTTCCAAATTTGGCTCAAACCTCTCCTTCTGTGGGAAACTCTTCCTTCCCTAAACAACTCCCTTCTCCAAAGCTGGTAACTTTCCCATATCCATATGCCACCATCAGCACCAATGCCTTTTGCCCCTCTGAATTTATGTTTCTGGGAGTATTTCAGATGTGAATGGAGGGGAAGGGTCATTTCTGTCTTGTTCCCTGCTGTATCCCCAGCATTTCACAGAGTAGGTTGGTTTGGTTTTGATTTTTAGTATGCATCTGCCAAACTCTACCATCACCCAGAAAGGTCCAGAGGAACAAGACTTACAACTTCTCTTTTCTGTGACTCACCAATTGCCCACCAGGAACTTTGAGGATACCTTTACCTTAGCCTCCTAATATTGCTATCTTGCCCTGCATTCTCTGATCTCAGCAATAACTCCTCTTTAATGGTTTAAGAGACCAGGCTTTGAAGCCAGACTGTGTAGCTCCAACAGTTGATGTATGATTTTGGACTGCTGATCAATTTTCTCATACGTAAAATGGTAATGATAATTACCTTATACAGTGGTTGCAAGGAGTTATTTTTGAGAGAGAGGGAGAGTGCGCACAAGCAGGGGAGGGGCAGAGAGACAGAGATCCCAAGCGGGCTCCACGCTGTCAGCAGCGAGCCCCATGAGATCACGACCGGAGCCGAATTCGGATGCTTAACAGACTGAGCCACTCAGGCGCCCTAGGAGTTCATTTATTTAAAACATCTATTACTTATGCTTGGCTTATGACTGACACTCAACGTCAGTTATTATTGAAATCTGTACAGTTATCTGTAAGATACTTTCACCTCCAATATCTCGTCTGAGGAATTCCGTGACCCTGTGGAACAGCCACAATTAGAGAAGAGAAAGCTGAGGCTGAGCGTGACTTATCCAACGTCCCAGGCTGGCGTGACTCCTGACCAGACTCGCATTCTCCGTCTCCCATCCCAGGGTGCCCACTCCGGCGGCCCGAATAGGAACAGCCTCATTCCGAGATAGGGTGGATTACCTGGGCGGCCGGGAGCAGGCTCGAGCTGAGGGGGGCGACGGCCGGGGGCGTCAGGCTCAGTGAGCCCATAGCGCGAGTCAGTACCCTCAGGGCCATGACGATAGCCAAGCTCCGCGGGGTTCAGCACACCACCGTTTCTTTTAGCCAGGCCGCCTGGCGCCTTTAGATGACGCTAACAAATCCCTGTGCCGTCGCTCTCATGACGTAATGAGGTGGGCAGACAACCCGAGACCAAGGTGAATACACACCTCCTTTCCTCCATGCGCGTGGTCGAAGCCAATCCACGGGCGACCCTTAGGTCGCGTGACTGAGAAGCCCGCTCCGCCCCCGGGAGCCGTCAAAACAATTACCTCGAGCGGCAGCCATGATGAATTTAAAGGGGCAGTACCGGCAAGGGCGGCAGCCAGACCGACAGACTGCGGGTGAGTCCGTGAGGGTACCCCCGGGACTGAGGGTTGAGGTCCCGCTACTTCTTTTCCGCACTCCACGACAGATGAACAACCCCCCACCAGCAGATCTCACACAAGTCCAGACAGACTGAAAAACTCCGCCCCCCCCGCGATTCTTCCCGCCCCTCGGCGTCCAGACAGACAGACAGACGGCCTGCCCCGCCCCCTGCTCTACCGACGGACTCATCGACCTCGGGATTCTCAGGTCCATGGGTCCTCGCTCGTGACGCGGACCTCCGCCGCCCACCCGCACCTCTCCCCTGCGCCCCCGCCCATCTCATTCTGTCCCCACCCTGGGCCCCAGGGCAGGTCGACAGGCTGGGTCACTTCTCCGACCGCTTTCCCAGGCGGGGAGATCAACTCCCAGCGCAGTGTTTCCCTGTAACCCTGCAGCCGCTCTGTAGACCTGCCATTCTTCCCTGCATCATCAGGCGTCTGAGAGGCACCCTAAGGTGACTTCTCTCAGAGCCTGTTAGTAGGTGGTCATCACAGAGACAAAGCCATGAAAGTGAATGGGTCAGGAGTGACCAGGTCTTTCTCCTCACCCTTTCCCAGACACGCCCCTTGCCGCAGATCTCAGATCAAGTCCCACTCCCTTCTTGGGAGAAAATAGCTCCCCAGGCCTAGGGTGGGACGTTGGCTCCGGGAAGGAAGAGGGACACACTGGTCGCCTTTGAAGGCCTGTAGGTAGAGAGAGGGAGGGTGCTTGCCCTGAGTAGGGCTCTGTGCCAGGTCCTCTGGGTGGCTGTGAGGTGGTGAGAGAAGGGGTGGGAACGCTGGAGTTCTGGACTTTGGGCAGGGCAGATCCTTGTGAGTCCCTGGCTACTGAAAGAGTTTCTTCCGGGCTCTGGCCTGAGCGCCACAGCTGAGGGCTCTGCTCTGTGTACCTACCGGTAAGAGGACTTCAAAGATGAGAAACAAGGCTCTTTTGAGGAAGTAGGAAAAGAGCCCGACACCTGGAGGGTGGGAAGTATGGGCTGAAGGCCTAGTGGGGAAAGAGGCAGAGTTTACCGGGTTTGGAGATGCTGGCCTTAGCTCTGTGGGTGGCGCAGTCTGAAGACCTGGAGCTTTCTGGGTCCCTCTCATCTGGGTCGTGCAATGAAGGTGCCTTTTTTCCCTCTTCTCTCTCTTCCCTGTAACTTTGAAACCTGTATAGTTTCTATTTTTTGAAACCTCTGCACCATTTTCTTTATATCTCCTGTTTGCTTTAACCCTGTTTCCTTTGCAGCTTTCTCCAGACACCCTCTGTGTTTCCTATAATGCCGTCTCTCATCTGATTCCTTTTCCTATTCCTGACCCAAGCTCTCTCTCCAACACTTCCTATTCTCTTCCTAATTTCTAAATCTGCCTGCTAGTTGTCAGTACTTTTGTTCCTTTCGTTGTCTTTCTTCGTTCAAATCGATTCCTCTCCCTCTCTCTTTCCCACCTTAGCTTTGTGTTTAGTGTTGTAGGCTCCTTTCCCACTTGATCACTCTCTCTCCAATTAAACCAGAAGGTCACCCATACTCTCTCTTGTCTCTTCCCTCTAACCAAGGTACTCAACCTCTCTTTCTCATCTTTACCCCCAATGAGCTCTGTTGTTTCTCCTCAGCCCAGGCAAGGTCCCCGTGGCCAAGATGTCAGGCCTGGTGTTGGGGCAGCGGGATGAGCCTGCGGGGCACAGGCTCAGCCAGGAGGAGATCCTGGGAAGTACCCGGCTGGTGAGCCAAGGGCTGGAGGCCCTACACAGTGAACATCAGGCTGTCCTGCAAAGTCTGTCCCATACCATCGAGTGTCTGCAGCAAGGAGGCCATGAAGAAGGACTGGTGCATGAGAAGGCTCGGCAGCTGCGACGTTCCATGGAGAACATCGAGCTGGGGCTGAGTGAGGCCCAGGTGAGAGGGAGGAGGTGGTGCCAAGTGGCCTTGGGGTCTGATTGGAGTTTTGGGGTCATTTAGGATCTCCTTGTCCTAGATGCTTGCCTTCATTCATTCAGTAAACATGTATTAAGTCCCTTCTTTGTGCCGGGCACAACTCTTCTGGGCACTGGAGACACATCACTGAACTCAACAGTCAAAAATCTTTGCCATCTCAGAGCTTACATTCTAGCTGGGGGAGGCAGACAATACACAAATAAGTAAATCGTTCTGTATGTCAGAGTGATAACTGCTAAGAAAGAGGGGTAAGAATAAAACAGAGAAGAGGGTTGGGGGATATGGAGAGAAGATACACCTTTAGATAGCATGGTCAAAGAAAGCCTTCCTGAAAAGGTGGCATTTGAGCAAAGATTTGAAGATAAGGGAATGAGTCATACAATAAATGGGGGAAAATCATCTTAAGCAGAGTGGACAGTACATACAAAGGTCCTAAACTGGGGCCTTCTCGACAAGTTCAATGAGGGACCAGTGTGGCTGCAGGAGAGTGGATGAGGTGAAGCAAAATAGAAATTGAAGTACCAGAGGTAGAATGGTTGGGAGAGAAAGGGACAGATCATGTGAAACTTGAAGGTCATCATAAGGACTTTGTTTTTACTTTGAATGAGATGAAAGCTATTGGAATATATTGAGCAGAGGAGTGATGTGGTCTAGCTTAACATTTTTTATTTATTTTTTTATTTATTTAGAGAGAGAGAGAAAGCATGCAAGTAGGGAAGGGGCAGAGAGAGTGAGAGAGAGAGAGAATCCCAAGCAGGCTCTGCACCACTAGGGCAAAGCCTGATATGGGACTTGAACTCACGAACTGTGAGATCATGACCCGAGTTGAAGTTGGACGCTTAACCGACTGAGCCACCCAAGTGTCCCAAGTCTAGCTTAACATTTAAAAGGTTCGGCTTGGGGCACCTGGGTGGTTCAGTCGGTTAAGCATTGACTCTTGATTTCAGGTCATGATCTCATGGTTTGTGAGATCTCCACTATCAGCACAGAGACTGTTTGGGAAATTCTCTCTCTGTCTCTCTCCCTCTCTCAAAATAAATAAAGCAATATTAAAAAAAATAAAAGGATCATCTGGCTGCTGGGTTGAGAACAGAGACTAAGTGAAAAGGGCAGAAACAGAGGCTTGTGAGGAGGCTATTGTCATCCAGATGGGAACTGATGGTGGCCTGGCCCAGGGTGGTGGCTATGGAGGTGGTGAGAGATTGGATTCAGGGTATATTTTGAGGGTAGAGCTATTGCTACTCAATCCTGCCTCCTGGCTCCTGCCAGTTTTGCTGCCTCCCAGTAGGCTCCCCTTCCACTTATCCCCGACATTCCGATCCAGAGTCGGCACTTACAGGATGTGTCCATCTAGGTGATGCTGGCTTTGGCCAGCCACCTGAGCACAGTGGAGTCGGAGAAACAGAAACTGCGGGCTCAGGTACGGCGGCTGTGTCAGGAGAACCAGTGGCTCCGGGACGAGCTGGCGGGCACCCAGCAGCGGCTGCAGCGTAGCGAACAGGCTGTGGCTCAGCTGGAGGAGGAAAAGAAGCACCTGGAGTTCCTGGGGCAGCTGCGACAGTATGACGAGGACGGACACACCGCGGTAAGCATGCACAGGCAAGGCTGGCTTCGGGGCAGACAGCTGGGAGTCACTATGGACCTGGGGGGCGGTTGCTCCATCTGGTGTAGGGGCCAACAGTGCTGCACAGCCTGCCCCCACCTGGCAGGATGCAGGTCCTGACACCAACTCCAGACAACAGCAAGGTGGAAACAGTATTCACTCATTCAATCGACATTTAATTACATGACAGCTATGTATGCCAGGCACTGTGTGCTCTGCTGGGGTGCAGCAGTGAACAAGGCAGACAGAGTTCTTGCTCTCACAGTTACAGGTTTGGGTGGGGGAAAGGCAGATAAGCACCTGGACAATTCCAATCCAGAATCCTAAGTGCTACAATGAGGGAAAGCATAGCAGAGTCAAGGAAGACCCTCCTAAAATTTGCTCTCAAAATGTGTGAAATTTAACCCTCACTCAACAGTCATTTATTTATCCTTCTGCCTTAGGCAGTGTGAGAGGATGTGTGTAAGGGAGATGTAAAGAACTATAAAAGAGGGGCGCCTGGATGGCTTAGTGGTGGTTAAGTGTCTGGCTTCAGCTCAGGTCATGATCTCAAGGTTCATGAGTTCAAGCCCCACATTGAGCTCTCTGAGGTTAGTGCAGAGCCTGCTTCAGATCCTCTGTTTCACTCTCTCTCTGTGCCACCCCTCCACCCCACCACACTCTCTCTTTCTCAAAAATAGACAAACATTAATAATTTAAAAAAAATTTATGTTTATTTATTTTTGAAGGAGAGAGAGAGACAGCACGAATGGGGGAGGGGCAGAGAGAGAGGGAGACACAGAATCCGAAGTCCGAAGCAGGCTCCAGGCTCTGAGCCATCAGTACAGACCCTGATGCAGGGCTTGAACTCACGAGCTATAAGATGATGACCTAAGCCGAAGTTGCACGCTTAACCAACTGAACCACCCAGGCGCCCCTAAATAAACACTTTTTAAAAAAAGATTGGAAAAAAAAGAACTGTAAGAGAGAGTTTCTGCCTTCTTAAGCCTGTAATATAGCTGTAGGGTCAAGGCTTACACATGAGAAAACATATGTGACAACATAAAGGAGCAAATGCTCAGTGCTGGGTGAATGGTTGTCAGTATGGGAAGAATTCCAAGATTGGTTTGTGGGGGCTGGAATGGCCTGAGA